GCAGGCTCAGAGAAAAACGCAGAAAAAAGAAAACGAACATTTTGTCTTCTTGACGGAGGACGTACCGACAAGCAAGTCCAAGTTTCGAGACAGATAAAAAAAACAAGTTTTCACAGGGAACCGAAAATCCTCATTTAACCACGTCAAGAAGGTGAAACCTTCCTTCTTGGAAAAATCCCTGAAGCGCCCGAGTACGCATTCCTTACTGTTTTGTTCCAAATTTCCTACTTTATTTATTTTGCCTGATTTCAAATCGCTGCGGAACCATCAAACGTTTTGTTATGCGAATGTCTTCTCGGCAATTTTATTTTTTACTAATCGATTATAATTATTTGGATAGAATTGATTTCTTAAGCCCAAAAGATAGTGGCTCTTATCAACCTAGAATGAAATGTATATTTGTGGTTTGTTTTTAGCTTTTTAGTTATTTATTAATTTACTTTCCTTTGGTTTTAACGTTTCCAGTAATTTGTTACCAGTCCATCGTCTCGCAAAATATGAAGGAATATTAAGGAAGGAACATCAATTTAAACATCATGATTAATTCTCGTTTCATTCACTGTTTTCACATTGAAAATCGAAATCAAAACATTCCAGAATGTTGATGTTTGATGTTGCTTCAACGTGTAAAATGTCCAAAACGTCAACGTTGCTCGAATGTTGCCGAAAAACATTACATTCACGTTGCAGATCGTTACCTATACATAATCTTATTTTTCAGTAACGTTTCAGGACTTTCATGCTTAGATTGCTGCACTGATAATCCATTATTAACCTAATGCATCAACCTGATACATTAACATGATGCATTAACATGATGCATTAACATGATGCATCCGTAACGATTAACCAACGTCGATCGAGTGACACAAGAAAGGCGAAAGTGTCTTCGGAGACGCTCGACGACGAACCGATGACGAAGGGGCTTGAAAATTGAAAAGGAATGAAAATGCAAATTCGTCTGATCCCTTTTCATCTTTATTCGAGCATCCCAGCGAGGCCATCGAAAAGAAATGTCGACGTGCTTCTTGCTTCTTCCGATGCCGATGCCAGATCAAGGCAGGGGCCTCTTGCAGACGTACGGAAGCCTCGAGGAACCGGAAGAATCGGCGTGATTTTGTCCTCGGAGTTTCTTCCGCAGCGGAGACGATGGAGCGTTTGCACCTGCGTCCCACGATGACAAAATCCAGAATATACATTGCATTAGGGTTACGAATTTCAAAGTAATGCAAAGGGGCGGGGTGGCAAAAATGCTCAGAAGTCCACACCGACGAGGATGAGATTAATTTATCATATTTTTTGTACATTTTAAAAATATTTCAATTTAGCTTTTAATCCAACGTTGGACCAAGCCGTCGAAGAACAGACCGAAGAAGTTGACTCCGTCGCTGCGAACGTCGACGAGGCGGGCTCCGATGCTCTCGCACTCGCGCGGCTTCGAGCGCCGTCTCCGTCCGGTCCAAGAAAATGTAGCAGTTCCCGTCGTGCTCCAAGCCGTCGTCGCATCGCAGCGGGAAGCTCACGTACACGGCAGCGAATCCTCTGATTCGTCGGAAGAAAAAGGTTATCGCTTACGAAGTCGACGAAGCCTTATGGTCTAGCAGGGATCCCTTACGAAAATGTCTTAAAGGATTCCTATATATTCCTTTAGGAATATATAGGAATCCTTTAGGAATCCTATAGGAACCTAAAGGAATCCTATAGGATCCTATATAGAAATAACTATAGGTTTCCTATAGGACATTTCCGTAAGGGATCTTTTACCTTGTCGAGACTCTGTAATCCGTCACGAAAAGGACGAGAAGGGACGAGGATTCTTCCTAGATCGGGCCGACTGTGCCCAAATTTCCAGTGTAGACATCGTAGTCGTCCGTAGTACGATTGTAAATAGACACAGTATCGTAGTCTTCCTCGACGTCGAAATCGACGAACGTGAGCTCGATTCCGTTGCCTGGTTCCACGCGGATGGAATACTCGCAGTAGAGCCCGTCATCATAATCGCTTGGGTAATTGGGCGACGAGAAGTTTCCCTCCGGCTCCGTGAGCGTGGCGCCGCAGTAGCCATCCACCGATGACCACTGCGACAGGACCAGTAGCAACAGGCTGGCGACGTGCACTCGAGCTTCCATCTTGCTTCTTTGCTTTGGTTCTCTGCCTGTGGTGCCCTTTTTATATCCGGCAGAAATAATTTTTCCAGCTGGTGTTTATGTCAGAGGATGAGATAAAATTGGATATTCTTTCCGTGGAAATTTTCGATTTGATGTCATCGCCGGGAATTCTCCAGAAAGGCTCCAGCTGCAAAAAAATTCTCTGAATCCCGATTGGTCCCCGCCCTCCCCCCCTTACCCCCCCCCCCCTCCTTCTTTCCTCGTTCCTGAGAACTCGCCGCGGAAGTATCCGAGCCCGCGAGAGGCGCATCCAATCCGGAATCGCGAAGGCGTTCGAGGCGACATCGGTCTTCCGCCGACACGCGTGGAAAGGGCGAACGGAAGTCGATCGACTCTCAAGGCTCCTTCCCTCGAGGAACCCCGCCTCGTCTCGTCCAGTGGCCTCGACACTTCCCTCGGATTCCCTCGAGAGCATTAACGATCCCTGCCCGTCCCGGCGGTTCGGTTCGCTTTCTTCCTCGACGTTTCTCATCCGTCGTTGAAACTCTGATCGATCCTATAATACGATACTAGGAGCTAATGTAGCGAATTTCATCACGATTGCTCAACTCCCTCTTCATGTTTTTTTTTTGCAATGGTTTTATATTTCGCACTGGCTTGCGAAGACTTCGAGACTAGTTTAGCCTCCTTAATCCTAACCGTAATTACATAATTGTAAAGTCCTCGCAATGCCGATCGGACGACTTCGATCCATCCGTTCGCTGCTGCGAATCGCAAGTTGTACATGTGCAGAAATCAGCATATTTTCTTTGAGCACTTCTTGCAATCCTTTTCAGGATTTCATCTGCGACAAATCTAGGCACCGGCCGTGACAGATCCCATGGGCAGGGGTGAGGACTTCCGCGACATTCATCAACCCCATTCACGAGTCTCCAACCGGTCGACTCTTTCGACAACCGGTCGACTCTTTCGACAACCTCGACGACCGCACGAATCATAGGAGCCAGAATGACGAGCGTTCTCGAATGCTTGGGGACCGTCTCGTGCCGCTCTCCTTCGTCGCCTTCAAGTAACTTGCTCGTGTCGAGCCAAAATTGGTTCGAGATGGCTCATATCGATAAAGTTATCAATCTTACTCATCGTATAATCGAAAATGTAATGCAGTGGTCCCGAAACTTTTTAAGGCGATGGCCTCGCGGACGCTTTCGTCAATCTCGAGAGTGCCGCACTAATAACGCTATTCATTTTTACGCACAACTTTACGGCACGTGAAGCCAGAGGGGCATTCAAGGCGCATGACCGATGACCAATAACCCAGGAAATTTACCTTGGGTAATTGAACAAATCCTTAGAAATACCCTTCAGCGACGCGGGAAGAGAAAGTTCTCCTCTCCGTCATTCACGGAAAAAAAAAAACATGAAAAAAGACGGCGGCGCTGCTTCCTCTCCGAGACCCCCAAGCTCGCTTAAATCGGAAAATAATACAAATTCCTGAATATTGTGAAATTGTGCTAAAATGACTGATTACCAATTGGTACGAAACGGCCAGAATTCCTCGCCGAAGAAGATGGAGCCCCCATTTCCAGCATATTTCACCAAATCGTCGAAGAAGATTTTCGACAGAGGCGAGCCCCAATGCTCTCGCGCTCGCGCGAGGCTTCGAGCTCGTTCGAGAAAATGCAGCAGGTTCCCTCGTGCTCCAAGATGCCGTCGCGTCTCAGTGGGAAGGTCACGCGGCGAATCCTCTGAATCCAGAGACATCTTTGATGAAATGCCATAGTTCATTAATGGTGTCAGTCCTAAAATTTACCGTAGAAGCGGACTCGAAATTTCATCATAGGTCCAGGAGGAACTGGTCTAGGGAAAGGTCTAGGGAAAGGTCTAGGGAAAGGTCTAGGGAAAGGTCTAGGGAAAGGTCTAGGGAAAGGTCTAGGGGAAGGTCTACGGAAAGGTCTACGGAAAGGTCTAGGGAAAAGTCTAGATGGAATAGGGTTCTTTCGCCCATACGTTTCTGGACTATCCGACACAAAAATGACGAAAAGGGAATTTGACGGTTCGGCGATCGGACCGACGATGCCCAAATTTCCGCAGTAGGTCTCGTATTCATCTTCGGAGCGACGAAGCATAGACACCGCATCATAGACGCAACCGGAAGAACTTTCGAGGGAGAAATCGAGGAACGCGAGTTCGATCCCGTAACCCGGTTCCACCTGGAAGGAATACTTGCAGTAGAGCCCATCATCGTGATTGCTTGGGTAATTGGGCGACGAGAAGTTTCCCTCCGGCTCCGTGAGCGTGACGCCGCAGTGGCCATCCACCGACGACCACTGCGACAGAACCAGTAGCAACAGGCTGGGGATGTGCGCTCGAGCTTCCATCTCGCTTTTTTCGTGTTCGGTCGTGAGGGGGACCGTTTTATACTCGGGGGAAGACAAGCTGCCATCTGTGAAGGAGATAACACTTTCCATCCCGTGTTCTCGATGCGACGTCCTTGACGGAAATACTCCGGGAAGGCACCCGCTGCTGCGGATTCCCGATCGTCCTTGCCGACTTCTTTCCTGCGACATGGCCTTGGGTGGTCGATAAAGGCAAGTCACAGACTGAAGGGATTGGGGTTTTAAGTGTTCAGATCACCGGATTAATCCTTATCGAGGCAGCTATTGGTAATTGGCCGATTCATGCGTAATTTAAAGAGCAAACCTGGAATCCCATCAATGAATGCAGCTGCAATACGAAGATCGTAACTACCTCTTAGAGATTCTGGAATGCGACTGTGCTTCCTATAAATGTCTGTGTGAATAGAAAAGGAATACAAACTCTCAATCCGAAAATTTGCTCCATTCAATTCCGAATCAAGTTGGCAACGATGAAACAAGAAAGGGAAAATTTGGTGCCATTTCTCATCTCGTTTCCTGTCGACCCTTTGCATCGAGACGCGAGGATCGAAAAGCGAATAAAACACGAGCTCCCATTCTTCCTTGTCGTCTTTATTCATTCGTCCCGATTCAAACAGAATCGCTGCCGATGGTCTCAAAATCCGGAATCTTCGCCGGAGCAGTTCTCAGCATCGATCTCATGCAGGCTCGAGGAAGCTCGGAAGAGCCGGGCGAATCGCTCCCGGCCCGCCGATCCACCCGGATGTGAGCGGATCCGTCCGCAAAGAAGGCGTCTGTGACGGAAAAACGATGCATTAAACGAAAATAGTAGATTTTCTTCCTGAAAGCGAAGGAAACTCTCCAGGAGATTTTTTTCCCCATGAGGACGTCGAGATCCCCATCGGAAATGCCTTATAGGATTCCAATATATTCCTAAAGGAACATATAGGAATCTTATAGGTTCCCTGAAGGGCCTATAGGGAACTCTATTGGCCCCATAGGGTTCCGTTTGGGACCTGTACGGTTCCCTTTAGAACCTATATGGTTCCCTACAGAACCTATAGGGTTCCCTATAAGACCCAAAAAGTTCCGTATAGGACCCGCAGGGTTCCCTATAGGGCCTACAGAGTTCCCTATAGGACATGTAGGGTCCCGTATAGAACCTATAGGGTTCTCAATAGGGCATATACGGAACCCTATAGGGCCTATAGGGTTCCGTTCGAAGTTCTCCTCTAGGCCACTAGATGGAGGTACGGGGTTCTCGCATATCTTGCAGTACACAAAAGTGCCCTCCTCTTGCCCATGGAATCATCTCTCACAGGAGAGTTTTGTACATTCCCATACAGCCTTGCCTCATCGTAGCAATGAAGAAACTTCAACACTTCCTTATTTGTCATCCCCATCATCCAGATAGAATCATGGAGTCTAGGTCAGAAACATGCACATATTCCCTTTGAAAACCACGTAAGAGAAACGTGGACTTAACCCTGAAGGCGTTTCAGTAAAGGGACAGTGTTCGCGTCTGCCATTTCCTTAAACTGAGAGAAGAATGATACTTCTCTCTACCGAAGGAAGTGGACGCGCAATCCTTCGCAATCCAACGACCATTGTGGGCCTGGACGATGCATTATACAGGCCTAGGCAGAACTAGTATTAGAAATGCAAGGGCCCCTACCATAGCAAAAACCTCTAGTCGGTAATTAATTTATACCAAAACGCTGCGCCTATATTGACCCCGTTTGCCATTCCCTTTGTAATGCCAGGGTTTCGAAACCCAAAAAATCACTCCCCGAATCATATAGATCAGGAGTCCTAAAGGACTCTATAGGGATCCTATAGGATCCTATAAATTTTTCGTGTTCCAAAACCTATAGGAAAGTCTATTGGTTTCTTATAGGACATTTCCGTAAGGGATGGGACTTAAAAAACATATATGAATATTGGGAACTGTGACGGCAAAATCCTAACGTGAACTCGATCGGCGACACGTTTAGCATCAAATTCCAGTACTTGATTTCCTGAGTCGACGTTGATCGTCTCTGTTACATGATTTTCTACAAATTTTTAATATAATTTATTTTCCTCCCTCACAAGAAAACGAGGCCAATCAGCAAGAACGTCGTGGTCTACGTTCAACATCTTTCTTTAACCGACCGAAAAGCATGGCCCATTTTCCCGACGAACTTAATACATCCCAGCGAATAACATACCGATGAAATTCTTCTCTCCATCGCTGTGAATGCTGACGAGGTCCGCCTCTAACTCCTCGCATTCCCGTTGCGCTTCGAGTGGCGTCTTCGGCTCGTCCATGAAGAAATAGCAGGCTCGCTCGTACTCCAGCCAGCCTTCATCGCATCCCGACTGGTAGGACCGATACTCCGCAAGGAAACCTCTGAGTTCCGGAATGCAATCGCGTGGATGAGCGCCCGAGAGGCTGACCGAAAGTGAGAACGGTTTTTTTTTTCACCTGCTGTTGATGGAGCCGTCCGTCTTGAATATGACATCCAGCTGACCGCCCGGCTCGTGAATCGGTCCGACGGTTCCCAGATGTCCAGAGTACATCTCGGTCCCTTCGGAACCGTATCTGACGATCAGGACGTTGTCGAGAGGGCAAGGGAAGTCGTAGCTCCATTCGAGGTCGAAGTCGACGAACGTGAGTTCGACCCAGTATTCCGATCCCACATCGATTCGATACTCGCAGGTTATGGAATCGTTGTAATTATCCGGGTAATTCGGGGACTCGAAGCTTCCCGTGGGCTCCGTGAAGGTCCCGCCGCACTGGCCATCCACCGACGACCACTGCGAGCAGACCAACAACAAAAGGGTGGCGATGTGAGCTCGATTCTCCATCTTCTCTCTTCTCTCACGGTCCCATTTATGTACTCCAGACGAACGGGATAGTTCCCATCTGGCGTTCCAGCGAGAAAGATAAAAAATACACTTTTCCGAATTTCCTGTTTTGAAATTGCGCGTCAGCCGCGTGAAGGTGAGTCACCGTCTGCAGCCGGTCCGTAAATCCCGATTCTCTTCCTCTCCTGGTTCGTTCTTGCCGGAATCGGGCAATATTTTACTCCAGGTGCAGCTGCCCCTAGGAGTGATAGAGCTTATTTTTCCCGAGTGTCTGCAAGCAACCCTTACGGAAATGTCCTATAGGAAACCTATAGACTTTCCCATAGGTTTTTGAAACACGAAAAACCTGTAGGATCCAATAGAATCCCTAAGGGGTCGTATAGGGCTCCTGACCTATAGGATTCGGGGAGGATTTTTTGGGTTTCGAAAAATCTCTCTCATCCCTCGACATCAATGACACCGCCGCGATGTCCAGTCTTCATCGTGTAGGGTCTTCGAATGGAATCCCCTCTGCCCCGAGCTCTGAAGCTTAGAGCCCTCAGCGGGCCGCGGGTCCGCCCGATCGGGCCGGGTGAGGAGAAACCGACCTGTGCAGACCTCAGACTGACGACAGACTGACCGGAACGTGGCAGATAACGCGTTCCTGTTCCATCGCGATGGCGTAGTCGCGGAATTGCAATTCTCAGGGTGGTTTGGAGACGAAAACGTTCCCGTCGGCTTCGACAGTTTTTCGTCGCGCTGGTCGCTCGCCGGTGACTGCTGCGACGACGCCAGCAGAAATGCCGCGGTGACGCGAGCGATCATCTTCATTTTCGTGTTTGTGCCCTTAGCGCGCTCGATTTGAAGAATCGGAAATTCCTCACCTGTCGTTTCCCGATTTAGACGAAACCCGGAAGAATCCGCGAATTCTCCCGGATTGCGAAACGTTTCACCGCAGATGCATTTTCGCTCACGAGGGGAGAGTTTTTCTTCGCTGATAGATGCCCTACTTAAGATATTTTTATCGCACTGAATTTGAATCGGTTTATTAGGCATGGTGGAATAATAAAAAAATTATATTCTTAACCTGTTTTCTATCGCTTTCGGTAGCAAAGACCGGCTATCTTCATTTTAATCTTTCTCTTTAATCTGAAAACTGATATCCATATGCAGAAT